AATTTCAGTTCTTAAACTCATCAATTAATCCTTTCATTTATGTGATAGGTTTGCATTTAAAATGAACATTTACCATAAATTAAAGGTATCTTATATTATTAGATACATTGTTATAAAACATGTTTTAGTTAAGGAATTATTGATGCTTCAAGTGTAAAATGATGATATTAAATCTTGAGAAAAATATATTTTTAAGTATTAATCGCAATTCTATTTTATAGCGGAATGCTCAGCTATGAGTTCATTTAGATGGATATTCTAAGATTTTTTTTGCTTTTACTTATCTTAGATTGCGTTTTATCTTCTTTATAGCTTTTGGCTATATTAAGATATTATGCAAATTCTGCACTAATCTTGTTAGAATTTGACATTTAATTGATATAATTATTTTTTTTAAAAAATAAGTAAAGCTACAAAATCTAAGAAAAACTATGTAGTACGGTGACTTGGATATAATTACTAATGTAATGATTATTTACTAAAAAACTTCTTTAATTTCTAATTCCAAGATATTAATATAGAGGAGATAAAATCCACGTAAGCTTATTAAAAAAATATTATTTTTAAATAAAAAACCTTTTAAATATAAGGATAAATTTTCTTTTTTTATTTTGGAATTAATATGCAATTATGTGGATACGAGACATTTGATTCTTACTAGGGAACATGATTATTTTTTTTAGCATGGTTGTAGGTTTTTTAAAAAATATTTTTTAATTAAAAATATATTAAAATAATATTTTTTTAGTTTTAAAAAATTATTTTTAATATTAATATATCAAAATAATCTGAAAAAATTTAAAAAATTAATTTTTTTTAAAAATACTTTGAAAACATAAAAATAAATAAGAATTTATTAAAAGCCACCTCAGAGAAATGGACAGAGAAATTATTCCAAGAGCTACAGGAAGATATGATCGTAACACCAGAAGACCAAGAAGTATTGCCAGCAATTAGATCATTCAACTTTTCAAATTAAACCCATTGAAAACAAAAGTTCCCTCGAATTTCCTAGTGAAAGAATCCTACCTAATCCATATATATACGCACATATATAGTAACTTTCAAATTTGGCTTAATGTTCTACCATCGCCTTACAATGTTCATAACGAGCAGCGCCTTCAAAAAAGACATAACTATGTATCTTCAAGATTCTTAGCCATCACTCTTATTTCTTCATCAGGTTTAATCATCTGTTTCTGGGTTGACCAATGGTTCAAAGAGTTTATGTTTCAGGGGATTCATAATGGTTTATGGGTATTTTTTGAAAAAAAAAAGAATTAAGATACTGACATCAAGACTAAAAATTAAGGATTCATAATGGTTTATGGGTATTTTTTGAAAAAAAAAGAAGAATTAAGATGCTGACATCAAGACTAAAAATTAACCATATATATATATATATATATGGTTAATTTGGACTTTGTAAATAATTTATATGGGTAAGGGAGGCAGCCCACGTGGGAGAAAATCTGCCGTCTTGTTTGATGAATGAACATTCGTCATAGAATATTCACAAGTCATAAGAAATAATTAAACACTTTCGTTCCTATTTCTTTCCGTGCAAGTAATTTGAAGAGTCCGATCCCGATCCCGATCCCACACCACTCTCTCCATCAATTTGTGGAAGTTAACCCTTTGCATGACCTTTTTACTTGAGCACACAGAAAAAAACTAGTTGCTTTTATTTGATATTCTCGGTCCCACACATGATCCCGTTTCACATACACAGTTTTTTTAAAATCATAACTAAAAGAATTTTAGTTATTAAGATTTGAATATCGTAATAGTCAATATTGATTATATAAATTAATCGAGTTATACTCTAGCTAAGCATCTTATTAAACTCTTACGTAATCTTAATACTTTATATCAATTATTTTGTCTCAATACTTTATATTAATTTTAATTTGGATATTAAAATCATTTATGAAGATGTTTTAAAATTTAAAGTGCTTAGAAATATATTTTTTAATAGTTGAATTATGAGTTAAACACAAGTTCTAGCAAGATAGTTTATTCTACATGGTTTATAAAACTTATAAATTATTGTAAAAAGCTTATAACATGCAAAACAATTATTTTTTGTGGGATTTCAAAATCCTCATATAATAAAATTAGTAATCTTTAAATAAATAGTTACAATAAAAAGAGAATGAACATTTATCCAATGAACAAAAATGTTTGTTCTTAGTTTTAATATGATAAATGAATTAAAATTAAAATAAAATTTTGGTAAAGAATAGAGATTGTAAACTTTTTATTTGTGTGGTTCTAGAGGTATTTATAGTTTACAAGTCTTAGTCATTTACAGAAAAAAGAGACTGAAATGTAATTTTTTCCTGATAGCATTAATGAATAATTAATATCCCGTATACATGCATTAATAAGGGATAAATATTCCTACATAAACATCAATGTAAGATAAAATATCCTTATATTAATATTAATAGAAGGTGAGAGAATAATATCTCTAACATTAATATTCTATGTTAATATCATAAGAATAAGCAAATGGCTCAACATGAAACCTATATTGATCTAGGCCTTAAACTCTTCGTGCTTGACATCTTATCAAGCACACAATCAATAGGTATGACAACGAGTTAGACCCATGCTCAATTAGACTTGACATATAGCTGAGCTCAAAAGTATTAGGTTTGACAACATGCTAGATTCATGCCCAAGTAGGCCTGGCACACAAACAAACCCAAAGGTCAATGAGTTGAAAAAGTCACTAAAATCATTCTTGATTAAGCTTGGCATGCAGCCAAACTTAAAAGTGATGAACCTTGTAGTTCACTGCACCTATGTCTGATTCGACTCGCTACATTACCAAGCCCAATAGTATTGGGTCTAACAACTTGCCAGACCACCATCCAATTAGGATCAACACGGTGCCAAGCCTGATTATAGTAGGTCTGATAGTTTGTCAAACTCGTGTCTATTTGGGCTCAATATGTAATTAAACCTAATGATGTTGAGTTTAATAATTCGTTAAAGTTCAAGGATATAGGGTTTGACAGCTTATCAGATCTATGCTCATTTAGGCTTGACTCATAGCCACGACTAAGAATGTTAGGCCAAAAATAAGATAGACTCATGTTATATGGACATAATATTCTACTAAGATCAGGGATATTAGATATAAACGCAAGCATTTCTCATCTATTAATAAATTATCAACCTGTTTTCGGATCTTCTAAATAAAGATTAAGACTCAAAATTTATTTTTTATAATGCCAAAAAATATTCATCCCGAATTCAACACTTTCATTTTATACATGTCTCATGCTTATTTTGCAATCACTATAAAGTAAAATATTGTTTTTAGTAATACTTATTTTATGAAGACAATGATCATTCAAAAATATATATTGTTTAAGTTTGTTCATAAAATTTATTGAGCTTTAAAATATAATCATGCTTGATTGTTTTCTTACCGATCGAAAGCTAGAATGAATATTTTCTTGAATCAAGCTCGAGAGGTTTGGTTCTTTTTTAAATAGAAATTACAAATCCATTTTACTATGTTAAAACTCATTAAGTTGGGAAATATTAGCCATGGGACATACAATTTTGCCTAAGGTGCTCGGTTGGAATTAAAATAAACAAAAACTCATATCGTAGATATGGGAAAAAAAAATAGAAAAAGAGTAACCAATAAGTCTTCTAGTTTATTTACTTTACATTTTTTTTTTAAAGTTTTTTTTAATAATATTTTTTCTTTTCAAAATCGGGCAAACATCTTAGTAAAAATTATGTATCATGTGGCTAATATTTTTCACCCCAAAAAAAGCTTTAACATAGTAAATGTATTTCGGTTGATATTGGTTGAATTGAATTGCTCAAATATAATAAATATAAGGTCAAATTCATAAAATTATTTATAGATGGTTGAAAGTACCGACTTGATATAAATGGAAGGTGGTCTCCAGATGGGATTTTCTAATTTTATTTTTTTAGCAAATAAAATTTGGTGATGACAATAGACACAATAAAAATTGAATATACAAAAAATATAAAAACATTGTCTTTAATTGTATATGCTAGATAATTTTGTGAAAGATCTTTTCAAAGATTTATATCAATAATATATTTTTAATACTAATATATCAAATTATTTAAAAATATTAAATTAATATATTTTCAATTCAAATATATTTTTCAATCTAGATTTTTAGAATAAAAGAAATATATGTTTTACAATATAATTGCGATTATTTTTTAAAAATTATTTTTAATATCAGTAGTTAAAATAATTTAAAAATACTAAAAAAAATTAATTTAAAATAAAAAATAAAAAAATTAAATTTTTTAAAAATATTTTTGAAATGTAAAAACAAAATATAGAAGTAGAAAATTAGACTGTGGCTTTCTAAATGAGTTTGTCACAAATTGACTGGTCACATGGAATTCCCCGAAGAGTAAAAGATTTTTGGCATAGTTTTAAGGTAACAGCAATATTTATTTTAACATTTTTCCATTTTTTTTTCCCAAGTATATGCAAGCAGCTACAAAAAGGAGACTGATCTCCTGCTTCTACAAGATCGAGTCCTTCCCGCTAATCTATTCTCTTGATTCCTGTCTCTGGTTTGTGGATTCTTTGCCCACTGATACAGCTACGGCTACAAACTACTCACTTGTGTGTGGCAAGGTAGTAGTTTTTGTGGTGAAAAAACATAGCTATAAATTATAGCCTTTTCTTTTACAAATCCGCATGGGAAGCACCAGTAACTAAACACAGGTTTAATCATAAAAATAAACGGGCTACTCTGCTGCTGCAGAGAAAAGACGGGAAGCATAGGATATTAGAAAATTGGCATCAATGGCCTTTGGCTTTTTGTGCCTTTGTCCAACCCCTTGTGAGAACGGATGTAGAAAACAGTGGACACTTGGATAGCAACAACTTCTTATAAAAGAGCTACCTAAACCACTCAAAACCCCCCCTCCCTCTCCCTCTCCCTCTCCCTTAGAAAGAAAAGAAAAGAAAACTTTGCTTAGTCCACTCCACAAGTCAAGTGAAGAAAATCATGGACAACCAAAGAGGTTCTGTTCTTAGCTGGGCTTACTACTGCCAGGGAAAGGTAACACATTTCTTGAATTTATTATGTTTTTTAAGGATTTTGCTCTCTGTAATGGGGTTTTTTTGTTTTCTGCTCTAGTTTGAAAAATGAGGTTTCTTTTGTTGGATTACAAGAGCTAATTTGTCATTGATTAATGCAGACAATGGATGAACTGAGGAATTCCCTTTTGTACACAACTTTGGAGCTGGAGCAAACAAGGGTAGCAGTTCAAGAAGAGCTAAGAAAGAAAGATGACCAGTTGTTCCATCTCAAGGATCTACTGATCAAAGCCATCAGAGAAAGAGACGAGGCACAAGAGAAATGTCAAAGACTTGTCACTGAGAAAGTCCTGCTCCAACAGCAGCCACAACATCACCAAAATGCTCCTCTCTCTGGGATTTCCAGCATTGAAGATGAACCGAGAAGAGGAATTGACTCCAGCAATGGCTTCTCATCATCAGACTGTGAAGAGAGCATTGTTTCATCTCCAGTTATTGACCCAACTCCACAACCATCCCAATTGCCCCCACCTGCAGCACCACAAACTATCCCCCAAGCAGCAATTGAGTTAGTTCCTGAAAAGCCATTACCTGAAAAGGGAAAGCTTTTACAGGCAGTAATGAAAGCTGGTCCCCTCTTACAGACTCTCCTTCTAGCTGGACCACTTCCTCAATGGAGACACCCACCACCACCACTCGAGTCCTTTGAGATCCCACCTGTTACCATACCTTCACCACCACCCCCACCCGCACCTCAGCTCATCCACCAAGACTCATTTATCAACATTAATGGTTGCAATAGAAAAAGGGTTCGCTGTGATGGCTCTGATTCTTCTACAAAGACCAAGTATCAGAACATAGTCCTCCACTGACAACCCACGCAACCCACTAAGTTATGATTTCACAATTTTTATATATTTATATCATTTAATATATCACTAAGAGAATTAGTCAGGAATGGAAGAAAATTAGTGAGGAATGGAATTGCAAGATGGTGTGAACCTGATCTAGCATTTTTGTACAGAAGTTTGTTTAGAGAAGCTATTCTAAGTTGACTGAAGTGAAGACAAAACAGAAGAGTTAAGTAGATGATGGCCTTGTTCTTGGCTTGTTTTGGCCAATGTTTTTTGGGCGGAGATTTTTGTCTCTTTTTCTATCTTCTTCACATTTCAGTTTTTGTTCCATGATGTGAAAGGGGGTTTGATGATTTCACTTTCCTGTTGCAAGTAACTATAACTTGGATATCTTTATGCCTAGCTAGTCAAGTAAAACTGTAAAAGTGTGTGCAAGTTTGAGGAAGAAGTGTGTGGATTTGAGAGGGAGAGGCCTCTCAAATCCATAATAATTTTTTTAAAAAAAAAGAAACACTGGTTGATGGGTGTGAAGTTTTTTAAAAGAAACACTGGTTGATGGGTGTGAAGTTGTTAGGTTTGGAAGATGGGTAAGCCAACAACCACAAGGTTTGAGAGACCTGCTTGTCGGGTTGAATGGATCCCACAAATCAGAATCAGGATCTGCTTTTTGTGTGATATATGATTAAATTAGTATGATTATATGAGTCTAATTTATCTTAATCTTGTGTTTTTACTCCTAATCGTTTTCATCTCCTCTATTTTAATACTACCAACCACATTTTTGTTCTTTGCCCCCACTCTCTACTTGTTTATTTTAGCATAAGCTTCTACCTTCCTGAAGCAATTCAAATAGTGCAAGGATGCTTGAGTTTCCCCATCACATGAAAATATCACATATACACACTAATTGCCTGCAGAATGCTTCTTAAATCACTGCAGGAAGCCCTAACAATGAAAACATAAGCAAAGAATGATCAATAAATCAATGGTTCCCCTGTTTTTTTTCTTTTAAGGTTTCTTAGCTAGGTTAGCATGTCAACTGTTACCAACCATTTTGGGACCCGTCATTGTTATAATTGAAGCACGCCATTGAATACAGAATTCTTCATCATTGAATTGTATAGACTATAGAGAGTTAATCTGTTCCCTTCTAACGAAAGCTAGGCTAGGTGAGCTAGGATTTGTTTGGAAATGCTGGAGTACAACTCTGTGTTGTTCTTATGCCGTGAGCAGTAGTTAATCATGTGTATTTATTATGATCGTAGAACCAAAATTCTATACACAGAATATTCGAGATGGATTAATGAAAAATCAAATGCAAATGAAAGTATGAACTCTGAGGTCAATTATTAGCAGAAACATGATGAACACAGTAGCGGGCATGTTCGGCTTTTTAGGCAACTTTGAACATGGCTACTTTGCAATTGATATGACCCCTTAAACAAGATTAAAAATGTTAGGCTGCAAAACCAAAAGCCGGCATGGATTCTGTTCTTCACGGCAAAGGCTTAGAAATAGGGGCGAAAATAAAATAGCCTTGACCGGAAGACCTGTATTTCTTCAAAAGATTAGACCAAGGCCTCCTTGCTCGGGGAAAGGTCACTATCAGAATTATTTCTTGCACTAGGATGAGGCTGCCGCCTCTTCTTTCAACACTCCTTCGCCTTCGAACTTCTTGTGAAGAAGATAATCCCAGGCAATGAATGCCATCACAGAAAACAACTTTATAAATCAAAGCCAGTAGTAAGTATAACTTTGATACAAATACAGTATAATATTTTTATTATTGATAATAAAATTGGGTACACTATAATACCACACGATAAGAGCTAATGCTTTATGATACCGAGGAGGAACTCCTTTGTGGCCTCACCGGTTAATTAAAAGAGAAACTCAATTTAGTATAAAATCTCTTGATTCTATCAATTTTATCTCAAATATAATAAGTATTAAACAATGTTACTCCTTAATTCATTTATTATTATAGTTAAATATTCAATCCAATTTACATGTTCGCACTAAATGTTTTCATTCAAGATGCCAAAATAAACTCGGAGATAACCTAAACAAAGAATTTCCTATACCTTTTGTTTTCCCTGGCTTGTATAATAATAATAATAATAATAATAGTCTAATGCTAAAATTCTTCCTAATAATAGATTGGAATTTATTTTGACACACATGCATGAATCGAAGTTTTTCTTTCTTCTTCGAAACTGCAATAGAATTTGATAACATGAATTGACACAATTGACAAAAACACACATCATACGATTTGCCACAATAAAAAAAAAATCAACAACAATAATTACTTGGCTTGACAATTGCACCATGACTAATGGTTTGCTTCCTTTCATCTTCGTCAAATCTTTCTTCTCTTTTTTCCTTGAATGATAAGAAGAGGATGAAAGGAAAACTTCACAATAGTTTGATAATTGACACCATCATAGCCTTATAATTGACTTTTATAAAAATAAGTTTGATTAGTATTTAAAAATATATTTTTATCATGATTTTATATCATCATTTTGTATTTCAAATATCAATAACTTCTCAACTAAAACATATTTTATAATAACATATCTAATAATATAAGATACGTTTAATTTGTGGTAAATGTTTATTTTAAATGCAAGTCTGTCACATAAATCAAAGGATTGATTGATGAGTTTAAGAACTAAAATTGAAAGGACAAATAGATAGCCAAACTTATAAAAAAGATGTTGGTGCAATCCAAACCAGAATACTGTTCAGTAATTGGGTCATATCTGAAGTTGTAGATCTCGGATTTAGATCTATTTTATATGGATGAAAATGTATAACATAAGCCTACAACTTTCATGGAAGCCCAAGATTTAAAAAATCTATTTTCAAGTCCAAATTGTAGTAACAACGAAAAAGTCTGAATTTGTCCTGCAACCCGAACACTGTTTAGTGTTTGGCCCATATCTGGAGTTCTAGAAACCCAAATGATCTCTATTTTTTTTTCTGGAAAGCTTAGATAATTTCCTACAACTTTCATGTTTTCAAATAGTTTCAATTCTGTCGTTATCAATGATGTTTTAGGCAGACAAGAGAAGATAAGTATTATTACCAAGTCAAAAATTAGTCACCCACTCATCAATTAGTCATCAAATCAATAGTTTTCAATTTTGACCTATAAAAGGAGGTATTTGCCATGCATTTAGACATCTTAGTCTCCAGATCAATTTTGACCTAAATCCGAGATCTACAGCTCCATATATAACCCAATTACTGAATAGTGTTCCGGTTTAGACTGCACCAGTATCTCTTCTCTAAGTTTGGCCATCTCTTTGTCCTTTCAATTTTAGTTCTTAAACTCATCAATCAATCTTTTTATTTATATGATTGGCTTACATTTTAGATGAACATTTACTGTAAATTAAAGGTATCTTATATTATTAGATATGTTATTATAAAACATGTTTTAGTTAAGGAGTTATTGATACTTCAAGTGTAAAATGATGATATAAAACCTTGATAAAAATATATTTTTAAGTACTAATCACACCCCTCCCAACCAGCTTATTATTAGTCTCTAGTAATCAAAGTGTTAAAATAGAAAAATTATTTGCAAATTCCACAAAGAAAGGAATTCATCATTGAACTTCCATTAATCTATCTGGATAAACAAACTCTTATTAAATTTATATATTTGCTCACTGCCTCTTAAAAAAGATATTAATAAACCTTTCTTTTGTGCTCAATATATCAACACATAATTATGGGACTTTACTTGGAAGAAAACAAAATTTTTGTTCTAATGTTTAAGGTTAACTTCCTTAGGTTGAGATTTTTTTTCTTTTTTTTTAAATATATATACATGTAACTTAAAACACAATGTATCTTTAACCTATGTAACGAGCTTTCGGCTAATGACTCCTAGACTAGTTAGGCTTAGGGCATTAGATGTTGAGACACCCCTACGAGCTTAGTAACTCGGGTTGCAGATACCGATACGTAGATAGTGCATTGTTTGATTCCCTTAAGCTTTTCTTTTTAACCCATGTAACAAGCGTTGGGCCAATAACTCCTAAGTTAGTTGACTTTAGGGTATTAGGTGTTAAAACACCCATTCGGGCTTAATTGCTTAGGTTAGGGAGGCTACGAAACCAAACTTATTTATATTTTTATTATTATCAATTTTTTTCTCTTTTTTTTTTACAATTTATATAATATCCATTTCCCTTAGTTGTTACCTTTAACAAAAGAACATAAATAACGTAATAATCCAGTGTGCAACCCACAATCATATGTTAAAGTGTGTGTGTGAAAATTAAAGTTTAAGAATACATGTTAAATGAGTATATAAGCAAAATTAAGTGATAACAATGCGAGAGTTTATAAACCTGGATATTTCAAGAAGTATTTCGATAGACCTTGTTATGAATATTGCAAATAACCATTGAAAAATGTTAATCAAGATACATCTCAAGAGTCAATAAAATTCCTCCTTACTCTGTCATCTTAGTAACAATAGTTTACAAATAGTTTATGAAAAAGAAAACACAGTTAGTTTTTTTATTTATATCAACTATTACCATCTCCCCCAACCAAAATGAGACATTGTCCCCAATGTCCTAAAATAGAAAGATAGAGTATAGAAGACATCACCTGAAATACCGAACACTAACAAACTTGAAACACACTTAAACAAATATAAGAAATAACAAAACATAAATATTATACTATTAATAAAATCAAAAGACACAAAGATTCATAAATGAAGACTCAAATCCAATCTAAGTTTTTTACGACTTTTCTTAGATGATCAATTTATACAACTCATAGAGAGATCAATTACAAGAATGAAAGATTGTAGTTGGTCAATCAATTGTTCAGCAGTAGTAGTAGAGATTATGATTTGTCATGCAGAAGATGTTAGAAATTCCTGTTCCATAACATGATCAAGAAAAAACAACAACTTATCATAATAACCATTAACATTTAACAGACTGATTAGTACTTAAAAGTGCATTTTTATCAAGGTTTTATATCATCATTTTGCATTTGAAGTATCAATAACTCATTAACTAAAGCATGTTTTATAATAACGTATCTCATAATATAAGATACCTTTAATTTATTGTAAATGTTCATTTTAAATGCAGGCCTATCATATAAATGAAAGGATTGATTGATGAATTTAAGAACTGAAATTGAAAGGACAAAGAGATGACTAAACTTCAAAAAGAGATGTCGGTGCAGTCCAAACCGGAATACTATTCGGTAGTTGGGTCATATCTAGAGCTGTAGATCTCAGATTTAGGTCTACTTTATATGGATGGAAAGGTAAGACATAGGCCTACAACTTTTATATGGAGCCTAAGATCTAAAAAAGCCATTCTCAAGTCCAAATTAGAGCAACAACAAAGAAGTCTGAATCTGTCTTCTAGCTTGAGCACTGTTCAGTATTTGGCCCATATCTAGAGTTCTAGAATTCCAAATGACCTCAATTGTTTAT